CGCAGGAGGTGGGTTGGAGTTGCCTCGGTAACGTTCGTGCTGCCGCAGGGACATTCCTGGTCCCTAAACCAGGAAAAACAGCCCTGGCTCTGCAGGAGGACGAGGTGAATTGTGGCTGTTGCAGGGATTTGGGGGTTTCCTGGGATGTGCTGGAATTTAACTGATTTTTCCTGGGTTTTTTTCAGGGCTATTCGGAGTCTCCAGACCTGGAGTTTGAATATGCAGACACGGATAAATGGGCAGCAGAGCTGTCAGGTGAGGAATTCTTGGGAGGCATCAATTAACCAGTGACTTCCTCTGCTGGGACAATTAAAGGAGCTCTCTCAGCTCCATCATTATCCTTAAAAACCAGATGGATGTTAAAAGGGAAGGGATCCATTTAATGAATGTTGTCAGCCTTATGCTGGGTGGGGTTTTTTGGGGAATTTTGAGTTTTTAGGCTAAAAGTGCAGTTGCCAAGTTGCAGCTCTGCAGGTTTTTGGAGCTTCCCCTCTCTTGGCAGAGCTTTACAGCTACACAGAGGGGCCAGAATTCCTGCTCAACCGAAAGTGCTTTGAGGAGGACTTCAGGATCCACAGTAAGAGCTTTTCCATGGATCTGTCACCCCCTGGGGAGGGACAGGGATCTCTCTTCCTGGAGAAGAGGAGCCTGAGGGCAGAGCTCATTGGGATCTGCAGCTTCCTGGGATGGGCAGCTCCGATTCTGCTCTGGGTGAGCAGGGACAGCACCCAGGGAATGGCTGGAGCTGTGTCAGGGCAGGCTCAGGTTGGATCTCAGCAAAAGGTTCTTCCCCCAGAGGGTGGTGGGCACTGCCCAGGCTCCCCAGGGCAGTGGGCACAGCCCCAAGGCTGCCAGAGCTCCAGGAGGGTTTGGACAACGCTCTGAGGCACAGGGTGGGATTGTTGGGGCATCCTGGGCAGTTGGACTGATGATCCCTGTGGATATTCCCGGAGTCTGTGACTCATCTGGGAGGTGGGAGAATCCCTCTGTCCATCACATCCCTGGGTGTCCATTGCTCCCAGCAGCACCGTGTTCCCTGTGGTGCTGGATCCCTGGAGCATGTCCCATTCCCTCATCCAGCTGTTGTGCTTTCCCACGGTGCTGGATCCCTTGGGCATGTCCATGAGTGTGTCCCATCCTCTCATCCCACTGTTGTGCTTTCCCATGGTGCTGGATCCCTTGGGTGTGTCCATGGGTGTGTCCCATCCTCTCATCCCACTGTTGTGCTTTCCCACCATGCTGGATCCCTTGAGTGTGTCCATGGGTGTGTCCCATCCTCTCATCCCACTGTTGTGCTTTCCCATGGTGCTGGATCCCTTGGGCGTGTCCATGAGTGTCCATGAGTGTATGCCATTCCCTCATCCCACTGTTGCAGTTTTCCTGTGGTGCTGGATCCCTTGGGTGTGTCCCATCCTCTCATCCCACTGTTGTGGTTTCCCACGGAGCTGGATCCCCTTCCCTGCTGGGGATGCCGGCTGTGGTTCTGGGGATTGTCCTGGTTTTCCCGTGGTGCTGGATCCCATTCCCTGCTTAGATGCCGGCCGTGGTTCTGGGGATGTCGTGGTTTTCCCGTGGTGCCAGAGCCCTGGGCTGTGTGCCAGAGCCCTGGGTCGTGTCCC